TCAGCAATTAGTTTCAATAAATATGCAGAATTATAATGTAAAGAATTGCTGGGTCATTGACTAAAATATGATGGTCTGACTATTAATTAGAATGCTCCTCTGAGAATTGCAACTAATCAACTTCAAGCCAGTTAAAATTTCAATAATCATATTAGACTCTTTTATTGTCTAATGGATACACAGTATCAGAAAATATTATATCTCAACCTATCCACAATTTTAACCAGTACATCTATGTACATAAAAACTTTGGAAAGTGAATTAAAAACTTCAGTATTTATTTGGAATAGTATAGCACCGTGCTGGCGAACCTATGGCACACCTGCCAGAGGTGGCACACAGAGCCGTCTCTGTGGGCACACATGCTATTACCAGCTGCTCTTCTGGTTTCCGGGGTGTGCATGCGTGCCAGTCAGCTGGTCTTTGAGTTTCCGGGGCTGCAGCATGCACGCAGGTGCATATGCATTCCAGTTTGGGCACTCGGTGCCAAAAAGGTTTGCCATCACTAGTATAGCATTGTGTTAAATTAGCTCAGAATTAATTTTTCATGTAAGATTAACATTTTTGGAAGTATTTTATTATTTTTCACAAAGGTAGCTCAGCTAGCTTTTTCTTAGATTGCATATAATAGCTTATTCATTATAATTACATAAATCATTTTGTCCTGTATCCAGGAAACACATTTGGTTATAAGCAAATTATAGATACTGTCAAGCCTTAGCAGTGAAAGCATTTGACTAACTTTAACTGGGTTGAGAGGCCAAGTAGATCTGACCCTGATTAGAAATGGACAGGGAACTTTAATGGAAAACAAGGGCTTAAAACTAAACTTAAACTTAAAACTAGGCTGGGAAGTTATCTCACAAAAAAGCAATGGCAAATCACTTCTCTGTTATCAATGGAACAATGGAACAGAAGGCAAAAATTAACATTTAGAACTATATTTCTGTGGTTACAAACTTGCTAAAAATAAGTAACATATATGATTGGGTTCAGTGAAGAACAAGCTTAAAGGGTTATCATTATTTTTCTTCCCCTATAATCCTTTGTATCCTTCTCCTATACAGGCAGTCCTCAACTTCTGACCACAATTGAGCACAAAATTTCCATTACTAAACAATACAACTGTTAAGTGAATTTTGCTCCATTTTACAATCCTTGCCACAATTATGCAAACCACTGCAGTTGTTAGTAACATGGTTGTTAAGTGAATCTGGCTTCCCCATTGATTTTGCGTATCAGAAGATTGTAAAAGGTGATCACATGTCCCTTGGACAGTGCAGCCATCATAAATTCATGCCAGTTGTCAAGCATCACTCTGGCGATGCTGCAATATCATAAGTGAAAAACAGTCATAAATCACTTTTTCAGTGCTGCTGTAACTTTGAACAGTCACTAAATGAATGGTTGTAAATTGAGGAGTACCTGTAAATCTTTGTGCTGTCCCCCAAGAGAATACTGAAGGTTGAAGATCATTCTGAAATGGTGGGGGAAGTAAAATGAAAATAGCAGAAATATAACATGAATTATAGGACATGTGCCTATGAAAGCCTTTATGTGCATCTCTCTGACCTCTCCAAAAGTTAGCAAATTTTAACTTTTAATGTGGTAACTGGGGAAAATGTAAAAAATGAAAAGTAATTAAAACTATATTTGAATGACACATAAATCAGATCAGCATTAATTTTGCCATCCTATATTTTTGGACTGTAATCTCTAATGTATTGTACCACTCAACGTACAACCCTTGGCTAAAAATATGATTGTACACTGATATTTAAAACTAAACCATTAAAGAAAATAATTAAAATTAGAAGACACAGAACTGTTCCTACTGGTATTTCATTTGATATCTCAAATCTAAAGAACAAAATTTGAAAAGCATTTTCTGAGTATAATTTTCAAGCCACCTATTTTCATGCCATGAAGCCCACTTTAAATTAGCTTGCTATTCAGCATAATGTGGGTGTCTTTATCAAAAACTTCCTTTAACTTGAAGCATATTTTCTCAACAACATTTTAATAATCTATTAAGGAAGTTGTCAGATTGGAATTGATAAGCTTATTAGAGAAGAATTTGTTTTGATCAAATTCATGCTAGCATCTGGCAATTACTAGCTTTTTATTATCTACTCTAGAATCTCAGTGTTGGAATGGTCCATAATATGCTGATTTTTTTAAAAGATACACAACATCTGGCACTTTAGTAATTTCCAGATTTTCCAATAGTATGTAAGAATTCATCTAGATTGTAGTTAGTTCATTCAATAACCTTGGATGCAAACATCTGATCCTAAAGTTTTAAACTAATCCAAAATATGGAAGTTTCTCTCCTCTTTATGTTGAACTCAAACTTCAATTTTGCCAGTCAGTTTCTTTATGAAACAATTTTTTGGGGAGTCCGAACCAAAGTTGGAGTTGAGTAGCTTTCTTTTCTATCTGTTAATATTTGAACTTCTTTACTGAGCAGTTATTATAGTGAATATTTTATTTTGAAAGCGTCCAAGAAGCCCTTTTTGTTATTATATGTATCTTTTCTTCAGCTCATTCTGAAATGTTGATTTTTGGACACTGGTTCTACTATTCTGAGTTAGTGGACCTATTTTGTAGTCCGAGTTACTTGACCTTTTTTGTGGACCTTTTTTTAGCAAGCCAAGATTTTGTCAAATAACAAAACATAAGATGCGATACAACTCTACCCTTCTGTACTTTCATGCAAATCATAGTAGTACCAAAGGAGTAATGATTAATGTTATAATACATCAAAATGCCCATGATCCTAACATAGTTTACTTTTCAAATTTGCCTTTTTTTCTCATTAGTCCCACAAACTTAACTGTCCCTTTTTTTTCTCTCTTTGAAATTGTTTGCCAAGTTCTTTTAAAATCCCTTTCTCTAAGCCAGACCTGGGTATTTTACGGTTCCAGGACACATACAGCTCACATAAGAAATTAAAAATCATATGTAAATAAGTGTAGTCCATACACACAATGCAACTACATTGCTTCTATTTTGAAGGCGACTGCAATTCATTTTTCAACGTACGTGTGTGGGTGCGTATGTGTGTGGGTGCATGCCTATGAACCTCCACACTGCCAGTTTCTCATGTAGCCCATTGAGAAAATTGCCCAACCCTGCTCTAGGCTTTGAGCTTTTCCCCATTAGCTCCTTCTGACATGGGATAACACTTATTATTGAATTTATTAAAATCTTAGCTAATATGCTTTGCTATTGTAGAGAGTTAGCACCCACCCCTCTCCTAGAAGAATAAAGTATTTTGAGAAATGTTAAAAAGGCAGAATATTATATCTGCCTGGATGAGAAATGGAAAAATGTGCTTTTGGAAAGCAGCTCTCACCTTCCTTAATAGCCCACAGCAGATGTCAGCATTTAAGAGATAAGTTCTATTCTAGCTCTATTCATAAGCAACTTAAGAGATAAGTTGTATTCTATCTCTTGTTGTTATTAGTTGCGAAGTCGTGTCCGATCCATCACGACCCCATGGACAATGTTCCTCCAGGCTTTCCTGTCCTCTATTATCCTCTGGAGTCCATTTAAGCTCACGCCCACTGCTTCAGTGACTCCATCCAGCCACCTTATTCTCTGTCATCCCCTTCTTCTTTTGCCCTCAATCTTTCCCAGCATTAGGCTCTCCTCCAGTGAGTCCTTCCTTCTCATTAGGTGGCCAAAGTATTTGAGTTTCATCTTCAGAACTTGTCAGAGCAGTCAGGGTTGATCTCCTCTAGGACTGACCGGTTTGATCACCTTGCAATCCAAGAAACTCGTACGAGTCTTCTCCAGCACCATAGTTCAAAGGCCTCAATTCTTTGGCGCTCAGCCTTTCTTATGGTCCAACTTTCACAACCATACATTGCAACTGGGAAAATCATAGCCTTGACTATACGTACTTTTGTTGGCAGAGTGACGTCTCTGCTTTTTAGAATGCTGTCTAGATTTGCCATAGCTTTCCTCCCCAGGAAATTCTATCTCTATTCATAAGCAAATTCCCTGCAGCAAGGTCTGAACAAAGGTAGGGTTAGCCCTCAGCCACAATAGGAATTGCCCAACAAGCCCCTTCATTGCATCAGCCAAACTTCAACCAAACCTGGGATGTAAGACAACCTACAGAGCCAGCTATGACCCCTACAGCAGCCAAAAGAATACATGTTCTTGCACAGGAATAGGGAAGTTCAAGTTCAAAGGCCAAGAGAAGGTACAAATACTCCTCACTCTCAACTCCATGTGGTCAGCTGCCCACAATCACACCTGCTTGGTGGTTCTGCTTCTTCATTAAACCATCTTTCCAATCAGCCTCCAGCCTCCATTTTGTCTCCAGTGCCTTTCTCCTGGCTTGGAACTGAGCTAGATGGATATTTCTTCCAACACTATGCTCAGCTTTATTTCCTCTTAAAAGCAAAAGTTCCAACATTGTATTTTTTCCTCCCAACATCCCTGCTTCCATTTCCTATTTCTTTGCCTCACCATTCTTTATTCCAAACCATGATTATATAGTGGATCTTATTTGTAGCACTCAAAATTATTAAAAAATCATTCCTAACCACTTTTATCCTAAAGTATTACAAAACATTACATTTGTGGCATTTTTATTTAAATTACATTAACTCTATAGTTTGCAAATCTGTAATTCAGTAAAAACGTGAAATTCAATTACACCAAATAAATCTAAACTATTTTAATAAACTAATAGAAAACAAGTCTAGCAAAAAATCACTTTAAAAAAAATAAAAGATGAAGAATAAAATAATTAAAGATATGCAAGCCAAAGGCTAGAGGGAAAAAATCCTTGCCTAAGTACTTTTGGGATTAGAATGGAAAATAATTTTGGTATTTCCTTAATTATTTTGGGGATAAACCATCAACTCCCGCTATCAGCTGGCTGCCAATTGAAATCCGCGGAGCCCCGCCTGAACCATCCCGCATGTGACCGTGACGGAGGCGATTATGATTTCTTTTTCCTAACCGATGAGATCATACTCAACTTTTCACCCGCTTCACTCCCGAAGCCCTTTTCACCCGCTTCACTCCCGAAGCCTTTTCCGCCATCTTTTGCTAGGGTCGGCGGCTTCTGTACAACGGCTTTAAACTTGCCGCCGTCACCGAGCTGCCGCTTTTGCTCTAACAGGGAGACCCTCATCTAAGATGGCGTCGCTCGTTTCAGCGTCTGAAGGCGGTCCTCAAATGGCGCCAGTTGCGCTTGCGCGTTAGAGAGCGGCAGTGGGAGAGGGGGCCTGGTGATTTCCATTGTATTACTTGAGGAGAGAAAAACCTTGAAGGTGGTCGCGGGTCTTTCGGCGAGCGACGGGTCATGGAGCCGGATCCTGTGGAAGGAGACGGGTTTGGTAGTAGCCACCACGAAGGAACCGGCGGATCTTCCCCACCGCTGAGCGGACTCACCGCCTCTCAGCGGAGGGCCGAGATTCGCCGGCGAAAGCTCCTGATGAACTCGGAGGAGCGGATCAATCGCATTATGGGCTTCCATCGGCCGAAAGCGGGTGAGGACGGGGTATGGCCTGGGATCGGGGGGCCCCGGGCGAGGAAAGCCCAGGCCGAGGTCGGAGGGAGGCGGGGATTCGGCGGGAGCGCCCTTTTCTTCCGTCTTCTCAAAACCCTCACATCATTTATTATTGTTATTGTTTGTTATTTATTATTATTATTATTATTATTATTATTATTATTATTATTATTATTATTTTATTATTATTATTATTATTATTATTATTATTATTATTATTATTATTCCCCCGAGGTTAAAAATATGGCCTTTTTTTTGCAGCAAAACTTTGTTTCCATCAACACTGCAAACGGCTGACTCAGGTAGCGGCCAGGTGTTTGGCGCTTCGAGCTCCTCAAATATAAAATGAGTCGTCATTGTTGGATAACGGAAATTTAATGGAGTTGCTTTCTGATACGTTTTAAACCGCATTATTTGTTTAAATGGGACCGGCCCAGTCAAATAGTTACACTTGTTTTCCGGAACTGCATTCTCATTTTTGAAAGGGAAAAAAAAAGTCAAATTTGAATAGCTTTAATAAAAACGCAATGTCTGTGAGTTCATCCAATCAAGAAAATCTTACCTTAGTAAATAGCATTTTAGCATAATTGGTGGTATCTTAGTTGCTATCTTAAATTTGGGGAAGGAGTTGAGATTTGTAAGAGGATTATTACATTTTTAGTCTTGCCAATAGCAATGGATGCCATGTTGAGGACACTGCCCTTACAGCTGAAAATGCAAAGGATCTGCAAGCTTAGCCTGGCCAGGTGGCTCAGTGGCTAAGACACTGAACTTGTCAATCAGAAAGTTCGGCGGTTCGAATTCCTAGTATAGGTCTCCTGCGTGAGCAGGGGGTTGGACTAGATGACCTCCAAGGTCCCTTCCAACTGTTACTGTTGCCTAGCTCTAATAATAAAAATCAAATAAGGTAGTCCTTGACTTACAATCACAACTAAAGCTAAAATTTCCATTGCTAAGCAAGACATTCGTAAAGTGACTTTTGCCCCCATTTTATGACCTTTTTTGCCATAGTTGCTAAGTGAATCACTGCAGTTGTTAAATGAATCATATGGGTTTTAAGTGAATCTGGCTTCCCCACTTGACTTTGCTTGTTGGAAGCCTTCTAGGAAGTTTACAGATGGTGAACACATGTCCCTGAGACAGACTGCCATAAATACATGCCAGTTGCCAGGTGCCCAAATTTTGATTGTGTGACCATAGGGAAGCTACAGTGGTTGTAAGTATGAAAACTGGTCATTAGTCACTTTTTTAGTGCTGTTGTAACTTCAAACGGTCACTAAATAATTATAAGTTATAAGTGGAGGACTACTTGTACCCTAGTGGAAAAATGGAACTAAAATTAAATACAAAGAAGACTCTACATCAGGTAGAGTAATCAGACTTAGACGATATTGCAGTGGTAGATAGCCTCTGCTTTTTGGATCAACCATCAACAGTTAAGGAAATCAGCAGTCAAGATATATGCCACAAAGTAGGGTAGAGCAATCATGAAGGTTTTGGAAAATATGTTCCTATACCATGATCTCTCTATTATCTATAAAGATCAGAATTATGTAAGAATTCTCTGTGACAGAATAGGTATCATTTTAAGATGACTTTATTGTGAGCTAGAGATGCATTAAAGGTGACTACATGAAGTTTCCTAAGCATGGTTAGAGAATATCTTAATTATATACTTAACAGGATATGGGAATAAGTGACTAGTCCAACTCTCTAGGCCACAGGTGTCAAACTCGCTGCGTCATGCTGTCGTGTGACGTTTCGTGACGTTTTTCCCATTTGCGGAGCTGGGGTGGGCGGGGCCTGCACATGATGCATCCGGCCCCCGGGCTGCCAATTTGATACCTCTATTCTAGGCAGTACATTATATGATTACCTTTGATATTTTAAATAATTTTTTCAATACACAAATGTAAGCCAATGTGAAATTGTGATTGAGAGTTGATTATTACTGGGGGGGATTTACTCATTTCTTTTGAGCAATTGAAAGATATGCACCACTGTATTTTTGCATACAACATTGCTTTATAGTGACAATTAGGATGTACATAGATAATTTCAGTGGCTTCTCATTATTATTGACAATGGAACATTTGGGCATATGATTCTTTGAGAAGCAAGAAAAAATTGAAGGAGTTGTAAAAAAATAAACAATATTTATGAGTGTGTATGTGTGTGTATTCTTTTATATTTCAACAGTTTTCATCCTTTTCAGATTGGGATGCACTTCTAAAATTTACTGCATAAATATGTTTGCTAATATCTCTGAGAGCTACAGATAAAGGTATTAGAAAAAACTACATTATTAATGTCTAACATTCATTACATATGGCACAATTCCTAAACATATATTCTATGCAGAAAATATTGTTGAACATACATCATAATAAGGTATACTTGATTTACTATTCATTTAACAACCATTTGAATGATAACGATCATTTTATGACAATACTGAAAAAATGTTATGACTGGTCTTCTTACTTATGACCATCGCAGTTCCCTCGGCGATCAAAATTTGGGTGCTTGGTAACTGGCATATATTTATGCCTATTTCAGTGTCCCAGGATCACATGTTCATTATTTTCCACCTTCAAATCAAGGACCTTCTGTACTTTCCTCTGCTGAATCTGTTGCGATTATGGGCAATTTATAATATATTTATATTTAAAGAAGTGCACATGGGAAAGAATGACTTTTAAATGTGGTTAGGTAGAAAAGGACTCTGGCTAACTGAAGCATCGTATCATTGGTTGACATCCTGTACTTTATCCTACCCTCTAAGAATTTATTATCAACTTCAAATTTTGGTATAATTTCAGTTTTTGTTCTGTTCACTTTAGATGATGACACTCATTCAGAAACTAAGCTTCAACTGGAACAGGATAAACCAATTTGCCTTCCTGCTCCTGTTTCCAAACGGGTTGTGCTTGGTGATACTGTCTGCAACTTATCAGGAACGGCTGACCACACAAGCAGTTTAGCAGAGCACAAAGGAGAGAAAATAGACTTATTTAGCAAAACTCATGAAATTGGTAGCGATGGCAGCAGTGAGCTCCGGCAACGCAATAGAGGGGAATTGTTGGACGTTCCACAGAGAGCACCACGCCATGGATTGGATCAGTATTTATCAAGGTTTGATGAAGCGATGAAGCTTAGAAACCAGCTGATGAATGAGAAGCCAAGTCAAGAAAATGGAAACGTTGTGGAGGAATTTGATTCCTTTCACATTTTTAGATTGGTGGGCTGTGTACTCCTTGCCATTGGCGTTAGAGTTTTTGTATGCAAATATTTGGTACGTTTTTTTAAAAAAAATCTTACTATTTTCATTTTTCTCCCTTTTTTTTTTTTTTTTGTCTTGGTTGCCTTGCTGGCAGGTTTGTAAAGTAGTACATGTATGGGGGTAATTATGCTAAACAGTTATTTTCTCATGGCTAAATAGATTCAGGTCCAAATCCATAAAACCCATTTATTGTTTCTAGCAGTAATTGTTAAGAACTGTGTGAAAGTCAGAGCATCTTTACAGTAAGTTAGTACAGGAACTTACTTAATGACCACTATTGGGACCGGCCACTCCGTTGCTAAGTGATGCAGTTGTTAAGCAAAACAGATTATCATGCTAGACTTGCGATGTCATTTCTACTATGGTTGTTAAACAAATCACTTGTCATTAAGCATGACATCATGTGACCACAGCTTGCAGCTTTCTGCCAGTTTCTCCATTGTCTTTACTTGTCAGAATCCAGTTGTGAAGCTGACCATTGGCAATTACATATCCATGGGATGCTGTGACTCTTATAGATGTGCGCCACTTGTGGGCAAATTTCTCCTTTACCAACATAAATTCTGGTCGTCAGTTGAGGACTTCCTGTCTTGCACTTCATTCTTGGCATCAATTAAGCATTAGAAGGGGATGGAAATCCAGGTAGAAAGCAGTGGCTGTGTACCCTCTTTTTTGTTAACCATTTGAATAGTCCTAAAGCACAGCTGACAATCATCCCTTCAAAGAAACCCTAACTAATGCATTTTAATATTATGCACTGGATGCTCAAATAGCTTTGTTGGAAATAAGTGATAGGCCTGGTTTAATTATCATTAATACATTGCTATTTAACTTATCACAGATCCACCCATCTCAGTAGCAGTGACTAAATATATTTAACACCTATGAGTTGTTCTTAAATGGAATATATTTGATTAGTAGCATTTTTAAAAAGTGCTTTTTCTTTTTTCATTTTTTAATTAAATCATTGAAATGTTCTACAAGAAATAGAAGCTTTCCTTGAAAGCATCTATTTAGTATGATTTCTCATGATTATTTGCTAAAGTATATAATTTTTTATTGTTTTTTCTGCAGTCAATATTTGCTCCATTCCTTACTTTACAACTTGCATATATGGGACTGTCAAAGTATTTCCCTAAGGTAAGTGTTTTGTTAGAAAAATCAGAGAAATCCTTAACATTTCTAACTTGGAGTGACCAAGGATGGGAGGAGTTACTTTAGTGATGACTGATGTGATAGGCTTAGACTTGGGAGATTCATATTCTCAGTCAACCATAGAGTCCTTTGGGTGATC